TATTTTCATGCCACCTACACTGCAGCCAGGGACAGCTTCCTGCTGAGCTAGAGACTGAGACCTTCTTGTCCCAACAGAGCGAGGGGGCTGGGGTGTCAGCCCCTGAAGGCTGCAGTGTATTTTAGTGCTCACTCTGCCTCCCTGTGCTGTATGGCTTCTTATATCAGCTGTCCCCGCCCTCACCCCCCTGCCCCATCTTTTGAGACAGGGTTTCTTTGTATAGCCCTGGCTGTCCTGAAACTCACTCTATAGACCAGGCTGGCCTCAAACTCAGAGATCTGCCTGCCTCTGCCTCCCCAGTGCTGAGATTAAAGGCCACCCTCTCTAAGCCTGTTTTCTCTCTGCATAACTAACTGATTTGTGCATCCTTTCCTAAACAGTTCCTCATGCCCACCGTGCTCTGCTCACTGGGTTCACAGGTCAGCTCAGTTCCCAGGTTGGGTCACCTCCATGCACACAGTCAGCCTCTCTGGACCTCTAGTTCTTCATCTATAAAATGAGAACAAAACTGTCTAAGTCAAGATTATGGCAATGAGACCGGGATCCAGGGAATCAGGCCCTCTGCCACAGTTGCTGTTAACAGAGTACTTGGCCTCCCTCTAGTCGGTTCTGTCTCAGTGAATAACCCCTGGTGTCCCTCTCGCCTCCACATCTAATCACTGAGGCCAGGTGATTCCCCCTGCCCTCTCCCCACTTCCACCACTGCCCCTCCCCCACTCAGTCTTCCAAAGCCATAGCATTTTAACTCCCTTATCTCTAGGTCTATGTTTGCTAGAGCCACTGCAGGAGGCTCTACAGCTGTCTCCTGCCTTCACCTTTGCCCCTTCCTATCTTGCCGTCTCAAGGTAAGAACACCTCCCTAGGGCCCTCCTCCCCTGAGCCCACAAAGGTACCCTTATCTCTGTAACTTCTACCCACTTCACAGCTCCTCCCCACTATCTCAGCTCCTTTCCCAACCTCTGCCTGCCTTTGTCACCAGACCTCAGCCACTCTGGCTTCCTTTCTGTCCCTCAAATGCACCAGACACTTTTTGCCCTGGCTGTTACTCTCTGCCTGGGGTGTCCTTCACTACCACAAGGCAGGCTTTCACCACTGGGGGGGGGGGCAATCCTCCAACCACAATTCTACTACTGCATCCCAGCTGGAAATTACCTGGATCATTCATGCCTGCTCCAGGAGGGGAGGGTTTTTCTGTCTGGATTTGAAAGCCCAGTGTGTAGCAGGTACTCTTGGGAGCCTACAGGACAAAGCAAACCTTTGTCAACATGACAGCGCCGTGACAAGGGGTGGTCCCCATCATATGTTCATGATGGAAAAACTGACCTGGCCAAGAACAGGGTTCAGAGGAAACAGGCACTAACCTTGGGGCCATTCTATCCCACTAAGACTGACAAAAACTTGCCCATCAGCCACTCACCCTGACTGCTCAGATGGGGCCACCCTAGCCCAAAGTCACTGGCAGACAAAAAGGCCAGCCAGGTCCCTGAACTTTGCCTGCTCCAGCTAAGCAAAGAAAATGAGGCTGAGACACAGGCTCTAGCTCCCAGTCCCACCCCACCTGGAGCAACTGCTCCCCATTTTCCAACCACCCTGCTCTCCCTCAAGTTCAGAGCGCACTAATGAATCAACAGGGTCTAGGCACGATGCTTTAGGAACCAAATTCCTGTCCAAGTTGGTCCAGGGTGGAAGACCAGTCACCACCACTTCCCAAACCTCAGTTGCCTCAGTGGGCTCCAAGGAGGCTCAGAAGATGATAATACAGAAAGTCTGTGACAAACTATAGGGAAAGTATTCTAAAGTAGGCATAGCACCCAACGTGGTGGCTCACACCTGTCATTCCAGCACATGGAAGGTAGAGGCTAGCCTGAGCTACATAGCAAGACCCTGTTTAAAAACAAAACAAACAAGCAAACAAAAAAGGCACATGCCGCATACTTTTGATCCCAGCAAAGGCAGGTGGGATCTCTGTGAGTTAGAGGCCAGCCAGTTCTACATACCTGAGCTACACAGTCTCAAGACCCTGTCTCAAAAACAAAACAAAACAAAACCCATAAAAATGGTAGGGCTGGCAAAACAGTTCAGCGGATAAAAAGACGCTTGCCGCCAAGTCTTCTGACCTGAGTTCAATGACCAGAAACCACATGGTAGTAGCAAAGAATCGACTCCTGCAAGTTGTCCTCCGACCTCCACACACATAAATAAAAATAAATATCAAAAATTTAGGACGAGTGACGGGTCCACCATTCGAGGGGTTATGGCTGGCTCCAGAGCTAGGACTCGAGGGAAACTGAGGCAGGGGACCACCCCAG